CCAAATTCGGCGGCGAGCGAGGGGGGGAAGTGAGAAGGAGAAGACTTTCTCAGAAGGCGGCGGGACTTCTCAGAAGCCCTCGCGCCTTCTGAGAGGCTTCCTGCGTCCTCAGGGAAGGATGGGAAAACTCACCCCCAGGCGCGCCGCCGACTCTCTTCATCGATTGCATCGAAAATTCATGTAGGCGGGCACCTTGCATGAGCAGAGAAGCTCTTCGTGGAAAGTGTTGCATAGCATGGCGCTGGAACGAATTTGAACATGAAGAGGCCGTCGCCCAAGCTGTCCGAAAGCTGCGTGCATCGACAGCGGCACCAGACCCCGCAATAGAGGTGGCAGTCGCAGTTCGAGGAATAGGGGGGGGGAGTTCCGATCCGCCATGTATTTATCGTTCCATCTGCGCACGTTCGTTTTGCATCGCCCCTCGCAGTTTGCCGTCCAAGGGCCGTTGAGTTAGACACCCACTGTGCCAAGTGCTTGCGAGCAGAGGGAGAAAGGCTGGCGCAAGTCGATGGTCGCCGATCGCGTGATCTGTTCGGCATGGTGGCACGATCTGCTCGGCCCAATCGGCCTCTGGACTTTCGCTCCGCGCGCTGGTCCTTGCTTTGGGATTGAGTCTCAAGCGGAAAGAAAAAAAGAGGCTGCGCGTTTCGCCCCTCGGGGGCTCTTCGGGTCGAAGCGCCTGCGGTGCAGCCTCCGACGAGCACCGCCGCCGACGACGGCCCGAGGCGGAGCCGGTGAGGTGCAGGCCTGCGACCAGATCACGCGAACGCGGACTCTCGAGCTGCAGGCCAGCTCCGGCCTGGACCACCTCCCGGGCTGCTCGGCGCGCGCCAGGAAGAGGGGAGGTCGGTTCGAGCCCGTGAGCCCCGGGCGCCTTGTGGTGGGGCAGCGGCGCGGCGGAGAGGGGCTCGTTGCCCGCGCTGGGCCCCGCCCCGGAGGCCAATCAGGGCAGCTCGGGCATGTCGCTCAAGGGCCTCTACCTGGGCGTCGTGCTCACGACCGGCAACCTCCTGCGAGTGCTGTTCCGCGACTCGTCCAAGCGGGTCATCTACGAGGAGGCGGCTGGGGCTGGGTCTCGGGACGCCGTCCGGGGGGTGGGGGGCGGAGTGCTCGGGAGAGGCTGGGCGGTCCTGGGGTGGCGGGTTGGGGACGTCGTCCCACACTTCTCTCGGCTTCTCTGTGCGCAGAACCCTTGCTTCGAGCGCGTGCCAGGCAAATTTAGAGTCATCGTCGTCGTCTCAGCTCATTGCGGGGCACTTTTCGTCGGGTCTCGTGCCGTGTAAATTTCGAGCGTAGATCCCTTCGGGGCTCGTGCCGACGCCCCGCGTCCAATGACCCGCTGCTAACTACTGCTGATACTGCTGCTCAGTGTTGATCACGATTACGCACCGCCTGCTCACCGTTGCTCAGTGAAGCCAGTGTTGTTTACTTGTGCGCGGCGGTGCCCGCGGATGCCCAGTGTTGCGCAATTCTTGCCCCCCGCTGCTCAGTACTGGAGAGTGCCCCTCGCGGGTAGTCAAAGGTGCTCAGTGCTGCGCAGTGGTTGCTCGGAGCTTGCCCATTCCAGTGTTTCCTGCTGGCGGCTTCTGCTGCTTTCCGTTGTCCTCTGCTGAGTGTTGCATGCCCACCGCTGGTCACAGCTACGCAGTGCTGGAAAGAGCTGACTTCTCACTGCTGGCCAGTGCTGGTCAGTGACGGTAAGTGGTGTCCACTAGTGTTCCCTGGTGCTCTGTACCGCACACTCTTGCTGAGTGCTGTATGGTGTTTGTTCATTACTGCTCTAGTGTACATATGATCATTGATTGAATAGTGTTGCTCGCTGATGCCCACCAGCGGCCCAGTCCTGTGCGGCGCACTGATTGAACCTTGCGTGCTGGTTGACTGCCCGCCGCAAGCTCACTGCTGCGCACTTCTGATCACTGCTCCCCGACGGTGCTCACGCTCGGTCGTTGCTGCATCCTGCTGTTCGTTGGCCAGACCCTGCAAAATCCACGTCCACCACAAAGGGAATCAAAAAGCATGTCCCCTTCTAGCTGATCAGCGCGGGTCCCCCCCCCCATCCACGAAACGCGCGTGCCACCGCAGCAGCAAGCTGCAGTGGGGACCAGTGAGCATGCACGGGCAAGCACTGAGCAATCAGCAATGAGCAGTGGCGATCAGCAAATTGCAGCGAACACGAGTGATCAGCAACGGGGAGCCAGAGATCAATCAAAGGGCAGCCAGTGATCAGTCCGAGGGTATGCCACGGGCACCACTGATCAGCAATGATCAGCATGTGGCCCCAGTGCGCAAACGGTGAGCAAGCAGTGCGAGATACATGAGCAGCACGAGAAGCTGTACTGCCTGCACGCTGATCGACAACTGCTGCTAGCAGAGGGCTCGATGCTGCTCACAGCTGGCCGCTGATCGTTCACCGCTGCCAATTCAGAATTCGCTGCTCACTGGTTGCCCACGGCTGTCCAGCGCTGTTCAATAGTGTTCCATTGTGACCACCCTTCTCTTGTGAGAACACACACACACACGCACCAAACAGATACATAGACTGCAGCAACCAAGACACCACCACAAACAACAACCAAGAAATAATACGCACGGCACACGCTGAAAAACTGACAACCCAAAAGCATCCAACCATCATGATGTTCCATGGCGGTATTGTTCCTCACGAGTGCCTTTTGTTGACCCACGTTTGCCCGCCGCATAGTGGTGAGTGGTGCTACCACCTACCCGTTGACGCCTGATGGTCGCTGCTGGTTCATGGACAATCGCTGTCCATGTTGTTAAGTCACCACTGGTGCGCATCAGTGCTCTTTGCTGCTCAGTAGTGCCCTGTGCTTCTCGGCGATTACCCGCCGCTGCGTTGTGCTGACCAGTACTGCCCACTGCCCGTTCACAGGCAGTCACTACGGCTCATTGATGCTCAGTGTTGGGCACTTGTTGGTCACCGTTGGTCAACCCTTCTCGGAGCTGATCACTGGTGTGTCCTGTTGCTTTCTGTGTTATGATGTTCGTTGATTGCCCGCTGCTGGTTAGTGATACGCAGTTCTGATCAGCGTTGCTCACCCTTGATCGTTGCTGCACAGTGCTGTTCACAGTCGTCCATTGCTGCGCGCTGTCAGCCCGCTGCTTGCTCATCCAATGCCTACTGCTGCCCATACAGTGCCCACTGCTAAGCGCACATGGTCACTAGCGCCAACGGCCTGTCCAACGCTTGCACCACAGCTGCTCACAACTAGCTCAGTGTTGCCCAATGCTGCCCATTGGTGCTCACTGGTGATTGTGGCTGATATGGCCGTCCTGGCGCGCTCCGTTGCGCACTAATTATCATTGCTGCACACTGCCAGCAGGGCTTGTTCATTGGGCGCCTACTGTTGCCAAGCGCTCCCGTGCTGACCAAAAAAATGATGTCCTTGTTGCCCAGTGTTGTTACTCATTGTTGTGCACGCTTGGATGTTGGTGCTCAGCACGTGTTCCTTGTTTGGTTTAATTCGCTTATTGCTGCCCATTGATGACGATTGTTCGCTGCCCAACAACTGCCCTGGTAACAGGCGCGGCGACCACGGACGACGACGACGACGACGATGATGACTAAGGCGACGGCGATGACGACGCCGACGACGACCAAAACCTCGACACGGATCACGAGAAGAAACACGTGAGGAGGAGGAGGAGGAGGAGGAGGAGGAGGAGGAGGAGAAGGAGGAGAGGGAGCGGCGAGGGGGTGGGCAGGCAAGGGTGGCGGCGGTGGGGGACAAGGTGGCGGGGTGGTCTATCTCCACACCTAAGCAGCGGAGAATCCACGAATACCTCTGCAGGGTGGTGACGGCGGTGGTAGTGTTGCAGGGAGGGGGAGGCAAACCAAAACAAACAAAATAGGAGGAAGAGGAGGAGGGGGGAGGGGAGGAAACACAAACAAAAAAGAACAGCCAGGTGAGAGGGAAGGGGCGATCCAGTTTTTTGTCTGCCCCCCCCCTCCCCCTCAAAGGCAATACTGAAGAAATCGATTTCAAAACCCCCGCGAAAGGATTCGAGCCCCGTTCATCCCCCCTCCCCCTCCTACCCTTCCACCTTCGCCTCCTCCCTTCCCTTCCTCCTCCCCCTCCTCGTCCTCCTCCTCCTCCTCCTCCTCCTCCTCCTCCTCCTCATCCTCCTCCTCCTCCTCCTCCTCATCCTCCTCCTCTTCCTCCTCCTCCCTATTCCTCCCCCCCTCCTCTTCACACCCCCCCCTCACCTCGGGAGCCTCTCCGTGCCGCACGGCCGACCCCAGAGCGAGACCCCAGCATCCCCCGGTCTCGCTCTTGGCGCGGGCCCCGATGGTCGGCTCCTGCCTTCTCGTGTGAGGCTCCCCCGGTCTCGCTCTTGGCGCGGGCCCCGATGGTCGGCTCCTGCCTTCTCGTGTGAGCTGGACGGCAGGGCTAGCAACGGTCAACTCCCTTTCCCGGGGGGGTGAGGAGCCCTCAGCAGGTGCATCCGCGGAGCCCAAAAAGCGAGGGAGCGCGAGGAGCACTGCGGGCGCCGAGGCCCCGCGCGCACCGCTCCTGCTGCGGCCCCAGGGGGCCCCGGGCGCCGACGCTGCGAGGGGCGAGCTGCTGGCTGGGGACCGTGGACGCACAGATGTCCATTGGCGGCGTTCCAGGGAGAGGGCCTCGCCTTCGAGCTCGGTCGCGACGTGAGGCGGCGGAAGTAGCACGAGGCCGCCTCCGCCGGCAGAAGCTGGCGGAAGTAAGAAATACAGTGCCGTTCTTGATACATGCTCCGCGTGCGGATCATGTATGAAAAATGCAGGGATTTAGTATTGAAAACAACGATGAGCTCATGCATACATGTGTTCATAAATTAATCATGTAATAAAAATCCTATATTTAAAAAATTCATATGTCTTAAAAACCGCCCTGTAGGCCGCCCAAGAGATGGCAATGTATTTGGGTTCAGGGTTTCTGGAACCCGCCGAGCGGCTCAGGAGTGGTTACCGACGATCTGCGCTGCACAGTGGCAAGCACGTGCGGCCCATTCTCTTGCCCCTCTTCGTCCTTCTCCATACGTAGCAAGCTGGGCTCAAGCCTTTTCTGGCTTTTCCATGGCATCTCAACTCTGTCCCCGCGGCGGTCTGACCTGGAGGCGGCTGAATTATTCTCTTGCAGCGGCTCTGTTATGGAGGAACCTCTTCGGGCCATACGAGCCATTGCCGAGAGCGTCAGGATGTCGTACGGCCCTTTGGGCCTCGACCAGCTCGTCGTGTCGGAGGGCCAGAAATTGGTGACGAATTCTGCGAGCCGCATATGGAACATGCCTCTGGCGAGTCCTGGATACCCCCCGCTTTTCTGGACACACATGTTTTCAAGGTTTGGCCACGAGATTGGACGAAGTATTCCCCCAGTGATGGTGACAATCACCAGAGGGTATTGTAGGGGACGCTTTTGCTCCGTCAGTGTAGTGCGCTTAGAACCGGGGCATAGTGGAGACGTCTGGAGCCGTCTTTCGTTGCAGCTCTCATCCTCCTCCTCCTCTCCTGCACCCTCCTTCCTGCGGGCATTCAGTGGCGCAGTAAATTCCTCAACGGATTGACGCGTAGGCGTGTGGGCGCGGGGAGTCTGCCGTCCAAGTCAGCCCTTTCGGCGTCGTTTCGCTTCTGGCGCACGCCTCCCCGCTTATGCTGGTGCTACCGCATGCCGACGAGAGCTGATCACTTTGAATGGCCAGCTAATTTCGGCGTCTCATCTTTGACGTCGCAGTTGCTTCGAGGTTGCTTGCGTGGAAGTAATGCTGGAAGCCATCTTGGGCAAGCGCGTGCCGTCTTTCGCCGTATTGGAACCCATGTTGAGGAATCGTGGGATGTCTTGGGCCAATTTGGAGGTCCTGCCTCCGTGTTGAGCGGTTTGGGAGGCATGTTTGAGTTATTCTTCGAAATCTTGAGATTGAACGCCGAGGGTCGTCGGCATTGGCAGGAGGATTTGTGGACAGGCTTGTGACAGCAGAACCACAGGATGGTTAGGAATGTCATGCCGACCTTGGCACGCCAAAGCAATGTGTGGTGAGCCACAGGGCGGTAGATCGAAGACGCCTTTGGCGAGTCACCGCCGACCTTAGCCTTCCTAAAGACACCTCTATGGCTAAAACTGTCTGCCACGGTTTGGCCAAGGCACCGGATTGTTTGTTCCCCCAGCCATTGTGAACACAATTGGGGTGACATGTTGTGTGCGTCTTACGCCATTTACGGCCATCGTCGGGACCCTCCGAGGCAATCTTTGGGGTCCTTGGGGCTGCCGTGGCGGCCTCGTGGGCCCCAAGACGGCCCAAGAGGCTCCGAGAAGCGCATGAGAGACCGCAAGAGAGCCACCAGACAGCCAAACTCGTTGAATCCACCCAGCAAATGGAATGGAAAACACATCACGGGATGAAGTTGAAAAACAGAAGTAACCAAGTTGAACATGAGGGACGAGCTGCCACATGGTTGGCTTTGGTTTGCTTTGTGTTGCGCTGCATCACTGAACTTTACTTTGTCAAGGACTGCCCTGTATTGCTTTATGTGTCACGGAGGGAGTCTTCGAAAAATGAGGGGCGGCGTCCCCGAGGAGCTGGATGGTATAGCCCCAAGGTCCCAAGGAACCTGGCCGCGTAGACATGGTCCAACAGGCCATCCCGCACGACCTTTGAGGCAAAGCTGGAGTTAATGGATAAGGTGTTTCAATGAGTCGGGATTCCCGGGCTGGTCCTAAGAGGGCGGTGGAGGGCCCTCAGATTGCAGAAGAGCGCCCGCAAGACGGCCCAAGCGAGACCCAAGATTGCCCCAAGTCGGCTCCCCAAGATTGTGTCAGAAGCTCCCAGGGTGCCACAAGACAGCCTCAGGGTGGCCTAAGAGAACCCCCGGGCAGCCCAAGAAAGCCCCAGGGTGGCCCAAGAGGATCCCCAGGCAGCCCAGGAAAGCCCCGAGACGGCCTTCAGAGTTCCCGAAAGGCAACCGTGGACGCTCGAAGTGGCCGCCAAGACGCTGCACGGCGGCCTGGGAGCACCCCAGGTTGCCCAACACTCTCCGCCAGCAGCAGCAGAGCCAGCAGTTGCAGGCAGCAGCAGGTAGGAGCGAGCAGCAGGCAGCAGCAAGCAGCAACAAGCAGCAGCGAGCCGCAGAAGTCAGTAGCAGCACGCAGCAGCAGCGTGCAGCTCTGATATCCAATGCGTACGCACCTGAAGCAATGCTTCCAGTTTTGCACAGGCTAGGTTTCACAAGCGATCGTGGCATGGGGGTCAAGCATAATCTGTAGATTGTGAATGATGCGAGTGGCTAGTCGTCGCACGTCTCCCAGTATCGTATCTGTTTATAAAGAATACGGTTATGTGTATGCACACATGCACACATGTTTATACACATACACACACAACAATGATGTCGGCCTTGGGTGCACGGATTTCAGATATATCTATAGACATAAACATAAACATAAACATATACATATACATATACAGATACAGATGTACATATTCGAGTGTGTATGTATGTATGCGTCGGAAAGGTAATCGCCTCGGGAGCGAGGGATCGTGTTGTTTAAAGATCATGTCACTGCGAACGAGGATCCAGCATGTTTCATTCGAGATCGCATCTTTGTGAGAGACTTGCCCTTCTGCGGTACACGAGATGGCGTCCCAGGGAGGGATTACCCACCATGTTGTGCAATGTGGCTCTCGGAGCGAGGGTCCAGAAGCAAAAGTCATGAGGGATTGTTGCCGTGGACGGGATGTGAATCCAGTAGCTATGATCCGTCAAGATTTTCGAAGGTCCGTGGCATTGGGAGCGAAACTCAGTATATTTCCCGACGTTCTTGCGGAGTTGGGTCCTCGTGTGGTCTGTTCTTCCCCGCTCGCGTCTCCTTCGGCGCCCGCTTTATCACCTGACCACAAATACAGTCAACACTGACAGTAATGACGAGCGATTTTGCAAGGTTACCCTTGCATCCTTCCACGTCAGCCCATCCTTGGCCACTTTCGCTTGCCGCGCCCAGCTCGAAAGGTGTCGACATGGCCCGCCGAGGCCCTTGCATGCTTATTGTGCATCCATAGTATACGCGTTGACTGTAGGCGAGATCCCTTGGGGGCAGGAACCCCAGGAAGCCCCAAGAACATACGGAAATCCCGCCAGTCAGGGTCAGCTCACTAGAAAAGATGAGCAGCAGCTCTTTCGCGCAAGCAAGATTTGGAGGAGTTCACGGCAGCGAGAAGTGCCAGCTCACAGCTTGAAGCCCTCACGGCGGGCCGGCGAATTGGCACACGCGAAGTGCGCGTCGCCCATGGCCCAGCTCATCCTCGGGCACGTCCAGGCCGTCTCCACCTCCCTGGGCGATGGCGCTGCGACCCTGGTGCTCCTGCTCGAGGGCGCGCTGGCCGCCTGCGCCGAGGCGCTGGATGACCGCGCGGGCTCCCGCACCACGGCGACCCGCGCGGAGCTGGCCAGGTGCTTCGGCTACATCGAGGCCGAGATCCTGCCCAGCCATGCTGGCCTGCTGCTGGAGGTGTTGAGTGCAGGCGCGGAGGCGCCAGCGACGGCCGTGGAGGCCATCGGCGCTGCGCCCGTGCCGGCGGAGGGCATGCTGCACGGCCTCGCGCGGGGCCTCTTCGGCGCGAACTTCCCGCCAGAGGTGAGCGAACAGTTGAGCCGTGTCTTCTGCCGCTGGCTGCGGGAGAACGCTGCCGCGCGCGGCGACGACGCAGAGGACCATGCCGCATTGGCAGCAGCCGCGGCCGCGCTACAACGAGACGATCTCGTGCACATCCACGCAAAGCCATTGGCTGGGTCGCACGCCTCTGCAGGAGGCCCGCAAGGTCCACATTCGTCTACGGTGGAGCACTGCCACATCTTATCGGGGGTGCTCGGGCACCCAAGCATGCCAGAGGCCATAGAGAACGAGTTCAGAGCAGTGATGCTTGACGAGACCACAGCGCCATATTCCTTGCGAGTCTCGTCCCCAAGCCGAACGCACGCCTACTTGACAGACCTCCTGGCGCTTGTTGTCCAGCAGTTCTGGCAGGCGGGGGTGCGCTGCGCCCTGTGCGAGGCGGAGGTTCACGACGAGTGGCGCGGGGCGCTGGCCCAGCGCGGCATTCTGCTGCTGCAGCTAGTGGAAGGCCAGGACTTGGCTTTGCTGGAGCGCGGACGGAATGTCAGCCGCGTCAGGTTGGCCTCGCACACGACGGAGGCAATCCGCCGCTCCTCCTTCGCGCTCGGGAGCATGCGCCCCCTGGGGCCGCGGCCGGCGGATGGGCTGGCTGCTGGCAGAGCCGCCTGGGCCATCGTCCCTTCGGCATCGGAGCCCATGACGCACTGCTGGCTCGTGCTGCGAGCACCGTCGGTGGGGCTGGCCAGGGAGTACAAGCACGCGCTCCTGCGGCTCCTGCGCGTGGCAGAGCCGGCGCTGCGGGACCCCAGCGCCACAGTCTTCGCCGGGCTCGCCTTCGACCTCTCGCTCGCGCGCCTCGCGCAGCAGCATGCCTCCTGGCCCTCGGAGCCGCACGCGGCGCCCGAGCGCGGCCCTGCGCCGAGCGGCACGGCAGCCGGTGTTCCCTGCCGGCTGCGCCAGCTGGCGTGGCGCCTGCTGCTCGCGGGGGAGCTGCGGGTCCTCGAGGCGTTCCTGTCGGGCCTGTTGCCCCGACCTGCGGCTGCCGCGCGGCTCCCACTGGGCGCCCCTGCAGGGGACTCTGTTCCCGCCAGCGCCAAGCGGCTGGCACCCAGGGAAGGAAAAGCACAGCACGAGCGTAAGCTTTTTCGGAGGTCGGCACAAAGTTCCTGGATGGCTAGGTCACCCGCGGGGCGCGAAGACGACCGAGCTTCGCGCGTCGCGGCCTATGCCGGAGCAGCTGCCCGTCTCCAAGGGGGCGGCGCGGGGGCACGAGGGCGCGAAGATAACCGCGCATCACGGGGCGCGACGCGCGAAGTTCGATGACCTAGGATCGGCGCTGGGCGCGCCTCCCTGGCGCGCGGAGCGCGCCAGTGGCGGCGCCAGAGGTGCCGCCATGGGGATCCAGCGCCGATGCGAGGAATCCGCGCGGGCCCCCGCCAGTTGACGTTCATGCCGTCTTCGTTGTCCCCCAGGCACGGTGGCTGGTGGTGGCGCCCGCGTGCGAGCTGGACTCGCCGCGCGCCCGCGAGGAGCTGAAGCTGCGGCGCGTGCACCCGCGCGGGACGGGCGCCTGCCCGCCCGCCGGGGCGGCGCACTTTGGCTTCGCGCTGCTGGCCGGCACGGGCGCCGGCGAGCCCGCGCCCGGGGGCGCGCTGGAGACGGCACACCTGCGGCTCGGGCTGCTGCGCGCGGCGTGCGCTCTCTGCAGGCAGCTGGCGCGGCTGGAGCCCGTGGGCACTGCAGCGGCGCGGGGCCTGCGGCTCCCGAGCCATGGCCGCCGGCCGAGGGCCGAGCCAGAGCACAGCGACTCGTCCAGCGACGGCTAGAGCGCCGGCCCCCTCCCCCTCCCTCCTTGCTCCCTCCTGCCGCCTCCTCCCTCCCTTCTCCCTCCTCCACCCCTTCTCGTCTCATCCCTCCTGCGCTCTTTCCCCCCCTCCTCCATGGGGCTCCCAAGTGCGCTCGAGGGGAACTACGCTCTGCAAACTGCCGTACGCAGCTACTTGTCGAAGAATCGCGCGACACCACACGGCCACTGAGCTGGACTCCAGGCCACCGCGCATGGCACCACGTCGCACCAAAGCATGCCACCTCACGGCACCAAGCATTGCACAGCACGGCGCCAGGCTATGTACCACTTTCGGCACGGCACCCCCTGGTTCGGTGGGCCATCTCCGAGGATCAAGCGGCTCAATCACACGGCATCGCACCACACAGCACCGCACTGGCAATGGATTCCGACCTCGCGGCACCCCGATCAGCACCAGACGGCACGGCACCGGGCACCAGGCCAGCACCGTTGTCATCGTCGTATTCCACACGGCACCGCGTGGTACCGCGAGTGACGGCATCGGGCGAATGGTTCCGCCCTCACGGCATCATGCACGCGGAACAAGGAAGTCGTATCGGCCTTCGTGTCACCGCTCAGGCACTACGGCACGTCATTGGGCAACAAGAGTTGCCCTCGTGGCATCCACGACGCATTTGTGACGCAGCCGAAGCGTTTGACATTTTGGGACGAACAATGATGCACGCAGCAGTGACAAAGAAAAAACATAAAGTTGTTTGTAGACACACATATGTTCTCAAGACGCCTGGTGACAGAGCCACGATGACTGCATGTGCAGACGCCGTGCACCGAGCAATTCTAGCTACGCGCTGACAGAGTTGTTATTCTAGCCCCAGCTTTATCCACTGACAGTCGTACCAGAGATGCCGCGATTGGTAAATTAATCTGGTGTCCTGGGGCGAGGAAAATAAGTGCGTCTGCCGTTGAGGTCGATAGGTCCTGAGGTTATTATGTAGACCTATTCCCATATGTCTGGCGTACATATCACTTCTCGGGTTGAGTGTTTGGATTGAGAAATCCGCGAAGCAGCAAACTTGCTGCTCAGCACAAAAAAGTATGGAATGCACAGCTCCCGAAAGAGCCTTGTCTTAGAGGGGTCCCACTGTCTGCTTAAGATGTGGGCGAGGCGGGTGGATGAAGCCAGACTCTTGGTGTTGGTAAAACTGCACTCACAGGCCCGGCTCTGATTTTTGCATAACCCTGACAGTCAGAACAATTTGTTGCCAGAACTCCACTCCCGGCACTGATTTCGATCATCTTGGCACATCCCTTGTAGGAGGTTGGCTGCTCCTGCTGACAGAGCTCCACTCCTGGGAATGATTTCGATCATTCTCAGGCGGGTGCTATCGGGGGTGACTTAAATAGAGGGTGAAGACAAGGGCCCTCAAAGGACCCTTTAGGGCCCCTTTTGAGTCCCTAAAGGGCCCATCGGACTTTTTGTCCACCCCGCCCAACGTTCGGGCGCAACCTGTACAGGCGGCCAGAATACCGTGTTGCCAGAACCCCAACGACTCAGGACCAGCGCTTTTGCTCGCTACTAAAGCCGGCCTTTCATCAAAACGTTCGCCCCCGTTCACAACTGCCTCGCTCCAAGCGCAGGAAGGGCGCTCTCGCCTCGGCGCCGCGCACCCGCCCCCCCCCGACATCAACAACGCTCCCGCTCGATAGTTCGTTGTTGCTCAGACTGACGCTTTTGCTCGTCCCTGGAAATCGACCTTCTTCGCTTTTTAATCAGGAGTGCTGATCTCGCATCGGCGCCGCAAGCTGCCCCCATAAAACAAAAACGTTCACGCCCGATACGTCCCCCGCTTTACTCAGAGTTGGCGCTTTGATTCGCCGCCGAAAACTGGCCCGACAACAAAACCAGCGTCACTCCGACACTGCAAACATCCCCCCTACGACGGCGCTCCGTTTCGATATGCCCTTACGTTTTGCTTGAGACCAGCGCTCTGGCTCGCCGCGAAAAAATATACCTCAATCAAAAAGTGCATTTCCGCTCGATACTTGTTCGCTTCTCGTTCAGGAGACGCCCTCTCGCCTCAGCGTTGCAAACCGCCGCGGAAAACAGCAACGGTCCAGCTCGATATGTCCTAGCGCTTTGGCTCAGGAGTGGGACCCGCGTTTCGGCATGGCCTCTGGGGGAGCTTCGAAGCGGCCACAGGAGGGCCCGAAAACATTGCAGCAGAGGCCTTCAAAGGGCTTTCAAAAAGTGCCTATGGATTCCCAAGGGCGCCCCAAAAGATTTCTGGATCACCTAAGAGAGCTCCAAGACGGCCCAAGAGGGCGCCGAGACGGCCCAAGGAGCCCCCGAAGAACCTCACGATTCAAGCACACACAGCCCAGAAAAGCTCCGAACCTCCAAAGATGGCCCCAGAAGGTCTTAAAAGATTCGCCCAAGGACAGCCGCAGACGATCCCAGCAGTCCCCCGGATAGCCCAGAAAGTTCCCAGGGATCCTTACATGTTCCATTTCTGTGTGTGTGTGTGTGTCACGTGTCCCCCTTGTCCTCTTGTAGAGTCGGTTGGTTTGTGTTATCCCCACGCGATCCCCCTCCCCCCAATCAAAAAAACGAATGGCGCGAGTTCGGTCCAGTGTGGTTGTCCTTTCCCACCGCTCCCCAAACCTGCACTGGTTCTGTTGACTTGCCGTGCGATCTGAAGGTCGTGATGTGCCTCGGCAGAGGTGTCGGTTCGATGTCTTTGGGCGGGAGATCGGGATGAGGGGATACGGACCCCGCCATTGCATTGCAGCGTTCCCCAGTGAAGTCGGGCGGAGCTATCATGATGGATGTTGGTTGTAGGTATAAAGATGTCGCCGCGCCGCTCGTTCTGAGCGCACCCGAGCAGACGAAGTCGGTACCGTGGTAAACCCCACGGCGAACGTTGCGTCCGACGCGTAGTTTGCCTTGGTGGCCGAGACGCCTTGTCAAAGACGGAAGGCCGCCGTCGGAGCTAACGGCGTGGCGACAGATTGAAAATGATGGTAAAATCGGTAGTGTTGTTGCTTCTGCCATTTGGGGATTGTTGAAGGTTGGTTTCGTGCCCCAGGACTGCAACAACGGCCCTAGGAGTCCGTAGCCGCCTGGTTCACGTGTCGGCTCAAGTTATTTAAAGTATTGTTTTTTTGAAATTGGCATCACCGCGCAGGCCGAGCAATCGCGTCACATGTGGAGCAGCCGCCGACGGACACGCGTCGTTATGTTCCTTTTAGCCTTGCTCGTGATCGCAGAGATTATGTCAAGTCATGTGAAAAGTGCCTTTACGCAGCAGGTTGTTTCCCCATTTGGCCGTCCCCTCTCGCCACGTTACGTTGCACTTCAGGCAGCCCCAGTATTCGGAGGTAAGTGGGTAAAGGACAAGACCACGAAATGGTCACTGTACGAGACCATGTTGAGAAAACGGATGACACAACAGATTTCTGACAAGATTACATGGGGCCATACAGCTGATAGCTTCAAGGTTCGGAACATGGAGACCGGCGAACGCGTGATCAACGCCGATTCAAAAATCATGACAATGAGAGGGAGATTGGAGTTGAGGGAAGCGCAATCGAACGCTGAAGTTTGCACGATTCGGCAAGTATTGTTGCGCACAACGCCAACTTATAAGATCGAGTGTGGCGGAGAGTGCTTGGCAACAATACGAGCTGATAGGTTCTCGCCATTCCGCAAATCAATTCGCGTGTACAAAGGCGATGCAAAGTTCAATTTATTGACTGGGTCGACGGATGCGGAGCCGCTGCTTTTGTGTCAACGTGGTCTTTTTCTTTGGAGTAATTGGTTTTGGATATACGCCGGAGACACTGGCGAAAAGGTGGCCTCGGTTTGGAAAAGTTGGTTCAGCTTCTTTTTCGGTAGATGGACAGGCGCTGCAGACTATGTTGTAGAGGTACGGCCAGGTGGCGACACTGTCCTTGTCCTTGCGACGATGATGGTGAAGAACGAGCTGAAGGATTTAGATGAAGCGAGGGCGAAGGCACTGGCAACAAAAAACATGAAGGTAAAGAACGAGTTGAAAGACTCAGGTGAAGCGAAGGCGAAGGCGAAGGCACTGGCACAAGAATCGACGACGACACCAGCTGCTGGGGCACTGGACGAAGAGGAAACGTAGGACGCATAATCACGCAATGTGTACACGCGTTGCAATAAGTTGGCTGCATCGGCCAGAACCTGGCATTTGCCATGTGTGCTTCGCTGACACTTTCGAACATATTTCGTGGTGAGTGCAGCCAGAGCCTATATGCTTCTCGCAGCAGTCGCTAAGACAGCAGCAAAATCCAGCTTGAAGCGTACTGATTCGTGATATCATGCATGAGCGTGGCCGCAGTCTATTACGATTAGAGCATGTGCCTGGCTGTGGGCTCCATACCATTCAGATGCGAGTTACACAGGATATGGCCCTCTCCTCATACGCAGCACGCCGCGAGGGAGGTGGGGGCCCGGGCAGTGCGGATGGAGGCCGCGAAACGTGTGAGAGGCATGCCGAATGGGCAAGACGGCGGCATGCCATTTTTGTCATTGCGGCCTCAGGTGGAGCTCTCTATGGGGTCACGAAACGTGTGAGGGATGTGCCGAAATATGCGCCACTGGGGCCTCAGATGGAGCTCCCCATGGAGCCACGAGATGTGTGAAGGGTGTGCCGACATGGGCGGGGCGGCAGTATGCAAACTTTCACACTGCGGCCTGAGGTGGAGCTCCGTATGGGGCCACGAAGGGTGCGCAAGGTGTGCCGAAACGGGCAGGGTGGCGGCATGCAAATGTTGCCACTGTGGCCTTAGGTAGAGATACCGATGGGGCCACGAAGCGTACGAAGGGCGTGCCAGGATGGACGGGGCGGCGGCGTGCCAATTTTGACACCGCGGCCTTAGGTGGAGCTCCCCATGAGGCCACGAGACGTGTGAGAGGTGTGCCGGAATGGGTGGGGCTGCGGCATGCAATGTTTGACATTGCGGCCCGAGGTGGGGCGCCCCATGGGTCCACGAAACATGTGAGGGTATGCCGAAACGGACGCGCGCAGGGCAGAGGCAGGGGTGGGAGGAGGGCAGGATGAGGAGGAGGAGGAGGAGGAGGAGGAGGAGGAGGAGGAAAGGAGGAAGGAAGGACGGAAGGAAGGAAGGACGGAAGGAAGGAAGAAAGGCGCCGTTGCGGATTCAAAAAACGAGGACCCAACATCACAGGATGCTTGGGGGCAGAGAATAACAAAACAAACCAAAAAGATTGGAAGGGGTCGAGAGGTCCAAGGGCCCATGTCTCGAACAGATTGTGCCGCTGGATGTCTGGGGATCGAGGGTTTTTGGTGTCTTTGGGCCCCGGGAAAGGTTCAAGAGCCCGTTTTGAACGGATTTTGGGGTCGGGCATCGAGGATCGGGGTTGTGATGTTCGCGGGCTTCTTCGGGCCTCCTGGGCACGCGCCCCTGGACAGGTGCAGAGTTCGACGACGACGACGACGACGACGACGACGACGACGACGACGACGACGACGACGACGACGACGACGACGACGACGACGACGACGACGGCGGCGGCGGCGACGGCGACGGCGACGGCGACGGCGACGGCGACGGCGACGGCGACGGCGACGGCGACGACGACGTTCCAGCTCTCTCTGGGCGTTGCTGGAGGTGCTCGTCGCCACGGCCGGACGCGGTCCGAAAGAGTTGCCAGCACTGACCCAGCAGGAGCCGGGGACCAGTCTTGAGAGCGGGCTTTTGATCGTGACCCGGCGGGGAGGAGGAGGAGGAGGAGGAGGAGGAGGAGGAAGAGGGAGGAGGAGGAGGAGGAGGAGGGAGGAGGAGGAGGAGGGGGGCGGAGGAGGAGGAGGAGGAGGAGGGGGAGGAGGAGGAGGAGGAGGAGGAGGAGGAGGAGGAGGAGGAGGAGGAGGAGGAGGAGGAGGAGGAGGAGGAGGAGGAGGAGGAGGAGGAGGAGGAGGAGGAGGAGGAGAGGAGGAGGAGGAGGAGGAGGAGGAGGAGGAGGAGGAGAGGAGGAGGAGGAGGAGGAGGAGGAGGAGGAGGAGGAGGAGGAGGAGGAGGAGGAGGAGAGGAGGAGGAGGAGGAGGAGGAGGAGGAGGATAGGAGGAGGAGGAGGAGGAGGAAGAGGATCGAGGTTTTCAGGCGTCTTCGGCCCTCTGTGGGCGAGGACCGAGGCTCCAGGTTTGGGGCGCCTCTGGCCCCCATTCCGGCCCCATGGAGGCAGCCACGGGCGCCTCCAGAGGCCGTCGGGGCTCCTCGTCGTCGTCGTGGTGGTCGTCGTCGTGGCGGCCGCGGTTGCGGTCGTCGTCGTCGTCGTCCTCGTCCTCTCCGTCTCCTCCTGCCACCGCTCAACCTGCTCCTCGTCCTCCTGCGGTTCTCTGCCGTTCGAACTTACGTGTACCAAATCAGAGCATGTTTGCATCAAAGGAGACGCAACAGGGTATTGAAGTGCCTCCTGGGGCGCCTGGTGCGCGTCGAGCGGGCCTCGCACAGTCGTGCCACCTGTGGAAGTTGTAGTACGGGCCACTAGAGTACGTCGCGACACGCTATCCACATCCCCGCTTCCAAGCGCCAATGTCCAGATCCTTTCCGAGCCCCTCGCCCCCGCGGAGCGGAGCGACACGCCATCCGCGATCCGCTCCTATACCACACTCTGGGGCCGCGCCGTGACAAATCACGCCGTCGGACGTGTGGGTCTGGGACCCCAGACCTCCGCCGTCGCAATTGGTCACAAAATGTTAACCCCGGACGGGCATTTTTGGATAGCGTGTCGCGGCGGCGGCCTTGGCAGCACGCTATGCCCTGCAAGCGGATAGCGTGTCGCTCCGCTCCGCGGGGCTGGAGGCTCGGAAATGCTCAGGGCCTAGACGCCCAGAGACTGGGTCGCGGATAGCGGGTCGCGCGAGAGCGTGGTGGGCCACAGCTGGGGGGGCCCCTCTTCTCGGGGCTCACGCGGCGGGGGTCGGCGCCCACGGGGTCGGCCGCGTGCTCTGGGAGCCACGTGGGGGGCGGGCCCCGCTCCGTCCCCGGAGAGGGGGGGGCCCTCTGCTCGGGGCGCACGCGACGGGGGTCGCCGCCCACGGGGGCGGCCGCGTGCTCGGGGAGCCTCCAGGGGGGGGGGGGGGCCGCCCCGCTCCCCTCCGCCCTCCGCTCGCCACACCCGGCGTCTGGGAGTTGCTTCGTGGCCGGCCGGGGCTCGCGACGTGGCCCTGGGCTGGCCCGGGGCTCGAGCCGACCGTAGGTCGGGCGCGGCCCCCTACAGGAGAGAGAGAGTCAAACATAGGCCCAAAATACTCTGGGGACTGGTTTTGTTGGCTCGTTTGGCCATGTTTGCTTATTGTTTGGCTGTTTTTCATTTTTCGCCCAAACTCCGCCTGTAGGGGGACATGTCCGACCTAAAGCTAACCCGGGCCAGAGCCCCGGGCCAGTGCTCTGGGCCTCTTAGATGGGGTCGGCGTAGATCAGGCGATCGCAAACATGGATTAGGGGGGCGTGAATTAGCGACGGGTCCCGTTCCCACGGGAAATCGAGGATTTCTGCCGCCGAGCGAGGCGGCACCGGCCGCACTCCGTGAAGGGCACCTCCCCCGATCCATGGATTCGGCGACCGCGCGCCAAATCTTGGATCGCTAATCCATGTTTGCGCGCCCACGAGTAGAGGGAGTCGGAGGATCGCGCCGCACCGCCGATGCATCGCCGATGCGGCTCGATGTGGAGCCCGATTTGCTTCACGTCGACGTCGCCGATGCATCGTCGACGTCGGCGATGAATCGCCGATGCATCGGCGATGCATTGGCGATGCGGCGCGATCCTCCGACCCCATCTGCTTGGACGCCATCTCGGGGGCCTCTAAGTGCGTCCCTGACTTTTCCCAGCAGTGTTTTTTTATCCCGAACTGTTGTTTGAAGGTTCCCCAGTCTGGAACAGGTTTTCCTGGAGGGTGAGGCCTGATTTTCATCGCCAGGTACAGCCGTTACAGAGGGTTGGCTCTTCGTGTTGCCAGAAATCGACTCCTAGAACTGATTCTGACCATCTGGAACCCAGCGATCGGAATTCTTCGTGTTGCTAGAACTCCGCTCCCAGCCCCGAGCTTGAACGTCTCAAGCCCAGCCTCCAACGTTTGGTTTTCTTCAGGTTGCCAGGACTCCACTGCCGGGCCTGACTGTCAGCTTCCAGCGGCAACTAGCCCAGCTCCAGCCCTGGCTTCGACTCCACATTCGTCCCAACCCCAGCCAGCTCCGACACAAGCTTCGCCGCAGCTCCAGCCCCAGTTCCAGTTTTGGTCCAGCCCCAGCTCCAATTCTAGCTACAGCTCCAAGCCTACCTCCAGCCCAGCCCTGCCGCAGCTGCAGCCCACCTTCACCTTCACTCCTGGGCCGGGCTCCTGCCCAGCTCGAGATCCAGCTCTGGGTCGAACTCGGGTCCTTTTGCAGCTCCTGCTTTCAGATCCGCTCGACATCCGTCTCCGTTCCGAATTCCAACTCAGGTCCACCTCCAGCCTAAACCCCATCCCAGCTCCTCCAGCCCAGGCTCAGCTTCAGCTCAGCTCTGGCCCAGGTATGGCTTCAGTTCCAGCCAAGCTTTAGCTTGCGCTTTCCCGAACATCACCATGTCCAGGGCCTGCCTGCCGTCGCCGTTGCACGCCTTGTATTGACAGCCCAGACTGTGCAATTCACAATGCCCAGCTTAGGTTGAGCAACCCAGATTGCATCTCCCACATTGCATATCCCAGCGCGCATGCTCCGAAACATCCTGTTGCACTACCACGAGTGCGAGACACCCAGTTCTTAGAACACGGCGCGTCTTTACGCGCGGGTGTTGTCCAGCCACGTCTCTTCATTGCACACTCACATACGTAAACGGGCACAGATCCTCGTAAACCCCTAGCCGGCTTATCCCTGGAACGCTTGATTAGATGAGTCACCATTGTGCACCGCACATCATGATATCTCCGAGCGCGCCTCAGTGTCTGTCGATGTTGGTATTCGTGGTCCGTCTTCCCAGAGAGACCCGAGCGTTTGGGTCAGCGAACAGGGGCGGGTGGGTGGGGGGTTGGCGCACTTGCTTGGGAAGTAGTATTGGTTTCCAGAGGACTCCAGGACGGCCTACTAGAGCGACAAGAGGCCGCCTAGATGGCCAACAAAAATCGCCAGGGCCTTCACCGCGGCTCTCAAAGCAGAAACAAGTGGCGCCAAGAAGCCCCAAAAAAGGCCACAAGAGAGGCCCCAGATAGTCAGAGCCTTGCAAAGCTTGGGGTGCTTCGTTGCGTTTCGTGTCTGATCCAGTTCGGCTTAGCATGGCTCCCAGGGGAGTTCAGGGACCGCAAAACATAGCCAGATCGCACGAAGAAGCTCGGGGAGAGCGTGCCCAGTATACTAATACGTTCCGTTCGGCGCCCCAACGTTGAGGGGCAATGGTTTTGGGAGACAGAATGTTCCTTCGGACGCGTTCAAGTTCTTAGGTATGTTATGAAGGGCAAGTTCGGCAGGAATGTGGTTTGCGACTGCTAAACCGCGAGATCTTTCGGATTGGAGACGCGTTGATAACGATTGTAGCACGCAGTGGTGTGGGTGTGGGTTAGCGGATTTGGAAAGCGTCACGGCTACTGTCACACAAAATCATTTGCGCGTAAAAAGTCGCCTTTGGAAATTATCTCCATCGTTAGGCTGGCGGTGCACACCGATCGACTTGCGGTGCCAGTGTCACATCGGTCTTTCCAACCATGAGCTCTGCAGTGTTGCACATGCTCAGCTGTCATGAGATCAAAGCTGTGCTACCACCGTCATTGCTCGACCGATGCGATCTGCAGGTTGCTGATACCAGCCTGATGCGAGACCTGGTGGATGGCATTTACATTGTGCGTATGCAGGGGAATCTGCGGGTGCGCGGGAGGAGCATCGGCATGTGTAAGTGGAAGTAGAGCATACCATGGTGAAATGATGCATCAGAATTTGAAGTTGGAAAGCGCAGGCATTGGGAGACGGATTGGAACATCCCAGAATTTGTTGGTGGCATTGTGAGATGCCAACGCTTTGGCCCCGTTTGATAAAATCTTGGGGGGCAACCTCGATACGTCTAAGGAGGTCCAGGATATTGCGAAGGCCGTACGGCCGGTGCCGCCGACCCTGAATGACGACGACGACGACGACGACGACGACGACGACGACGACGACGACGACGACGACGACGAGCGCTCTCGGGGGCCTCTTGGGGGTAGTTGGGGGGCCCCTTGGGAAGCTCTTGGGAGCCGCTTGGGAGCCTTGTGGGGGCCTCTTGGGGCTTCCTGGGGGTCTCTTGGGGCTTCTTCGGGGCCTCTGGGGGCTTCCTGAGAGCTTCTCGGGCCGAGGGATCGAAATGTCCGTTCGGGCCCCCCGTCTGGGCTCCATCTTGGAGCCGTCTTGGGGGCCTCCTCGGCTGTCTTGGAGGCCTCTTGGGCGATCTTGGGGCCCTCTTGGGTCGTTAGGGAGCTCTCCTGGAGGCCTCTTGAGCCATCTTGGGGCGGTCTTGGAGGCCTCTTGGCCTCTTGGAGCGTCGGGAAGCTGACAAGGCGAGAATGCTGAAATCTTTCAAAATCCTACGGGAAATTGACGTGTTTGCCCCTTGGGGCCGTATTGGAAGTCCTCTTGGAGGCCTCTTGGGGCGTTTTGGAAACCCGTTGAGCCGTCTGGAGGTTAGTTTGGCGACTTGGACCGATACTTCGGCTATTCGGGGCCTTCGAAGACCGTCTTGGAGACATCTTGGGGCACTTCTGCCCCGTCTTGGGGCTTTTCCGGGCACCCGAACCGCCCGGGGGGGAGCCGTATTTGCCCCGGGTCCAGGCTATTCTCTGGATCCACACAAGTGGACTGCATTTTGTCATGTCTACATGCTCCCTCCGCTTAATCACACTCGGTGACCGCTCCGCGTGCACGAATTGAAAGTGCCACCACGATTTGAGGGCGTTGGACCAAGAATGCGTCCGTGAGTAGCGAGACTATGGGATTTGTCTGTGTTGGGCAGCAAGCAGCAGGGCCCATATTTGGTCCATCGCTGGTTCTTTGCAGGCCATCAGCCCTTGGATTCGTCGTCCCAGTGTCCTTCGTGCGTTGAGCACCCCCAGCTATCACGGACAAGACCGAATGGAACCCAAGGGTTGGGATACCACAAGCAGTTCGGCGTCGCTTCTCAAGCTCTCGAGTCACAAACGTGGGGTCCCTCCTGGTCCATCTTGACGCCCTCTTGGGCTGTCCTGAGACCCTCTTGGGGCTGACCTGGGCCGTTCTGCCGGCTTCTGGAGGCCCTCATTCGGTTCTCGTTGGGCCTCCTATTGGCAATTCCGAGGACCTCATGTAATCATATTGGGCCGAGAGGCCTAGGAAACGCAAAATATTCAATACCTGATGCTGTCCGTAGGTGGTTGACTGATGTTGGCCCTTCCTGGAGGGCATCCTGGCCTTCTCTTTGGTATGTTCGAGGCATTTGAGACCATTGGGAGCCTCGTGGGGTCTTCTTGAGAGGCGGCCTGGTGCCTCCTGAGGCATTATGTTGTCATCGTGGTGGCCTTGGCGGCCTTCCTGGGCCGTCTTGTAGGCCTTGCGGAGCCGTCGAGATCCCCATGGAAGCGCCAGGGCACCTAGAGAATCTCGAGAGGGGGGGATGCATGCAGGGTGGCGGATACAGGTTGAGGCTCATGCCCGGCAAAGGATTTGTTACCATATCCGTGCACGGCTGGCGATCAATAAACATAGGCGCGTTGGTGTTGTTCTAATCCCCCCCCCCCGGTGCAGAAAATGCTTCGAGCCACAAGCCTTTGGAATTGGAAATCGTTCTCGTGTTCAAAGAGCCAGGTGTATTCGCAGGGCACCTTGCGGAGGGGATCCAACTGGCGGGGCGGCTTCGCCGATGCATCGAGGGAGGTCGATCTTGCAAACGTCAGGTGTCCCGCGCCCCCCTTCAAGTCTTCCACCTGGTCCTCTGTGGGCGGCCGCATGCGCTCCTGGTTGGCAGCCCGATGTCGCCCTGGCTGTCGGGGAGCGGGGAGGTGGAGTTCGAGCTGTACTACCAGCTGCTGAGCATACTGAGGAGCCCCGAGTTGCTTCTGCAGGCCCCTGTCGCCGCTCGTCGTCCCCGCGCTCAGTCATCGCCCATCTCCCCCTTCCTGGAGTCAAGACGCTGAAACTCAAGGAAGCAACCAACAACACAATGACGCGACAACCAACACAACAAGGAAACCACCACCACCACCACCACCACCAACAACAACAACAACAGCATCAACAACAAGGATCAGGAGGGGGGGCTCTGGCCTTCGGGACCCCCCGTGGCTCGGGGGCGGGGAGAGCTCGTGCGTGGCCGAGGCCCGCCGTGGCCAGGAACGAGCCCGCTCGCTCCTCCGTCGGCGCCCCCCGTGGCAGCGCCATCGCTCCCCGTCCTTCGGACACCCCCCCTCCTCTGCAGCCGCCGCCCGGCCCGAGCCCGCTCGTCTGTGCCGGCGCCTCGGCCGCGCGCCGCTCTCCCGGCCCCCACCGGCTCCTCCTCCTCCTCCTCCTCCTCCTCCTCCTCCTCCTCCTCCTCCTCCTCCTCCTCCCCTCCTCCTCCTCCTCCTCCTCCTCCTCCTCCTCCTCCTCCTCCTCCTCCTCCTCCTCCTCCTCCTCCTCCTCCTCCTCCTCCTCCTCCTCCTCCTCCTCCTCCTCCTCCTCCTCCTCCTCCCCTGTCGGCGGCGTGCGGTGCGGCGGACGCGGCCCCGTGAGGCGGCAGAGGCGCGCGAGCGCTTTTGGGAGCGATCTCTGGCGCTGCGTGTGCACGGGCGCGTGCCGACTGCGCTGCAGCGCCCGCCGCCGAGCGCTCCACACGCCGCCGCGCCGTGCGCACCGGCGCACGGCCTCGCTCGCCCTGTGGGGGGGCGCCTCGGCCAGCAGGGCAAGCTCTGCCTCGGGCGCATGGGGTTCGCCGCGGGGCTTGCCGCTGTGCCAGCCTCGTATGCTTGGGCGCGTTCGGAAGAAACGGCGCCGCGACGTATCACCTGTGGGAACGTTGGAATGAATCGACACTTGCCACGCGGCGCGAAATCGAAGCTCGACCTCTCGGCGTGAAACTGCGGGCTGTCCGCCTTGCCCAGGTGGCGCGCAAGGTTCCTGGTTTTGTGCACCAGCATGTAGTATGGCCACGACAGGCACGCGTTCTGGATCCGCAAGAGATATTTTGACGATTCACCCGAGGAGATCGTAATACCACGACTTGCCACCATCGTGTACGTCACATGTTCGAGTGACCAGCGGCCAGCGAAAACCCCCCCCCGTCGAGTATCTGCCTCATTTCTCTTTCTTAGCACAGCAGACGGCCCACCTCGTGGCGCGCAGGCTGGTTTTCAGCGTGTTTTTTGTTCGCTCTATCAGAGCAAATTTGGGGACAATACTTCTGAGGTGTGTTGACGGAGGCGATGTGGAAGCTCGCCGTTCGGAGGGTTTGCTCAGGCATCGGTCCTCGGGAGTCGCGTTGGTGGCTCCAGCATGGTGGAGGACAAGAACCAGACGCAAGAGAGCTTCAATAACTGAAGCACTTGATTTTCTGGACCGCAACACGGCACTATCTGAGGCAGCCGGACATCTTGTCCACCCGATGTTGCGCTCCTGTTTTTGACAAGGAACTTCCGCTGCCTTCGAGTCTCCTCTGTTGCCCTTGTCCAGTGACGAGGCGGCTCCGTACACGGACGGCGCCGCGCAGCCTGCTGCCCAAGAGCCCTCTCTGTCGCCAGGAGTCCGAGGCGATGCCATGGAGATGTGCGCGAAGGGCCGCGGGTGGTGCTCCAGCTGATCTTGGGCTGCGTCGCTCTGCGTCCTCGAGTGCCCCTCTGCCGCAGGTGCATGAGGCTCCAGCTCTCTTCCTGGCCGGCGGCCTTTGTTGCCCGCGCTCTTACGAGCGCTGGGGCGCCACACCGCTGGCACCAACGCTCGCGGCGGTCGCGAACGTCGCAGCGCAGCGGTCAGCTGCGCCCCACCAGCTGCGTGCCAGTCTTCTCGTTCGTTCTCCGGTGAGGCGTTTGTTCCCTGGCCAGCTCGCAGGGACGTTCGAGCTGGTCGTTGGTGCTTTGCGGCGCCTCTTCTGCATCGCCACGTGGCGCTGCTCCAGCGCGCACCTTGCCCAACGACGCCTCCTCGGCGTCGCCAAATGCGAGTGACTTGCGTGACCTTTAGTGAGTTGGGAACGCACGGGTAGGCGACAAGGTCGCCCGCTTGCAGATACCTCCCCTGTTGGCGTTCCAGGCTCACTGGTGCATCATGCTTGGGGCACGCTCGCGCAACGGGCAGGTTCCACCCCCATTGGCCGCTATGGTTTGGAGCCTCGTCCCACCCCACCTTTTCTCAGAGTCGATCTTCCGAGAACGGACATCGTGGGTGGATAAGACCACAGGGAACGCTGAGCAAGAGTACAGGAAGATAGAGAGGAGGAGGAGGAGGAGGAGGAGGAGGAGGAGGAGGAGGAAAAGGAGGAGAAGGAGAAGAAGAGGAGGAAGAGCAGGAGGCCGACTCTGACGAGTACGAGGAGGAAAAGGAGATGGCAAGACGATCTGGACGAGGAGGACGAGATGCCGAATGACAGCGCACCGCGTGACCGCTGATTCCACCACTCTGCCGACATCTGGCATTTTCAGGGCAGAATTGAGGAGCAGCGAACACCGCTCACGAGATGCGAGAGGAAGGAAGGAACGGAAAGCTGCAAATGATCCCGTGCCTTTCCTCCTCTTTACTATACCGCTGCCCCTTGTGGCTCGCAAGTTGCGCCTAGGCAACAGGTGCCCTATCGACTGGAGGACTCGTGGGGAAGGGCAAAGCCTTCATCATCGTCCCTCATTCATCGATACCGCCTACACCAACGGAGACTCGGGAGGGGATCCGCCATTCGGTCAACCCTTCCCTCACTACAGCCACAACCACAACCACAACCACAACCACAACCACCACAACAACAACAGCAACAACAACAACAACAACAACCGCAGCAGCATCAAGAACCACAACAACAGCAGCAGCATCAAGAACAACAACAACAACCACAACCACCACCACAACCACAACAACAACAACAACAACAGCAACATCGACGACAACAACAACAATAACAACCACAACCACAACCACAACCACAACAGTAACAACCACAACAACAACAACCACAACCACAACCACAACCACAACAGCAGCCATCAGCAGCAACAACAACAACCTTAACAGGTGGAAATAAATGGCGAGGCCCAGACGGACGGACGAGGCGCAGAGGCAGGAGCCGCGGAGCCAGAGAGGAGAGGCCCGTGGCGGAGCGGTGCGGAGCTGGGGGGGGGGGAGAGAGAGGAGAGGCGGGCGCGCGCGGAGAGCGACACGGTCGAGACGAAGAATCAAAAATATTCCAAAATATTTCAATTATGTTCAAAACTTGTCAAGGGATCGCCCCCGGACTCTTTATTGAATCTCCCCCCTGCAGAGGGACAGGCCCGACTTAACGATACGGTCGAGACGCTGAAGTGACAACTGTCGTGGGCTTGCGGTCGGACCGAGGTATAAGGTCGAGGTCGGTTTTGGGAGGGTGCCCTACAGTTCTTCGTGTGTGTGTGTGTCGGAGGGTCTTGTGCATCCTGGGGGGGTACCCTTGGATGCTGTGTGTTTGGGCAGGCGGAGGGTCTCATGTTCTTGGGGTATGTCCTTCCGTGCAAAGTCCGACCGCAAGAACCGCCATGGGCTTCGCAGGGGCTCGGGTTTTCGGGCCGCTCTTTTGACTTATGTCAGATCTATGTCGTGGAACCCGCCTGTGGCCCAGGTTTGCTGTGGCCGGACAGGCCCACTCTTTCATTGCAATGCGTTCCTCATGGTAGGTACGATGACTGCAAGGGGGCGGGCGGAGCATGGTAGGGCCAGGGAGGGCGGACGGGAGAAATGGCGAGGTGTTCAGGTGGTGCCAGGGGGGCCCCTGGCGTAGGGTGCCCCGGGGATTCTCGGGGGGGTGGGCCCGGCGGCCTCCAGTGAACACGATGTATGCAAATGAGGGCCGTCATGCAAAGAAGGAGGAGGAGGAGGAGGAGGAGCCCCGGCGTAACGGGAAAAGAGAGAAACCCCGGCCATTCAGAGCTGCCGGCTGCGGCGAGGGAAGCGCCGGGGGGGGAGCAGCGCAGGCACAGGTTGTATTGAATTGCACTGAGCTGAAGCTGGGGAGGGCAGCCAGGAGCTGCAGCTGGTGGTGAAGAGAAAACGAAGCGAAGCCCAACCCGGTGGACCGAGCACAGTCCAGGGATGAGCCAGCGCGCCGATACCAGCGGGTCTGCGAGGCGCATGCGAGGAGATGGGGAAGGCCAGGACGGACCAGCCCCAGCTGCAGGCATTGCGCCGCGGGCACAAGGGCGGGTGCTGGACAGCACGGCGCTGGACGTGGCTGGAGCAGGTGCCGAGCGGCACAGAACAGTAGCAGAGGAAAGGCAGCCATGGGGGCGGTGCCCGACCCAGTGGACCAAGGCGGGGTCCAAGGATGAGCCAAAGCGCCAAGACTTGCGGGCCTGCGAGGCGCGGGCGCGAGGGGCGGAAGGCCGGGGTGCCACCGCTCAGGCAGAGCTCAACGAGAGCGGCCAAAGAGAAAGACGAGCGCCCGAACCTCGACCCGCGCCGACGGGAAGGAACCCCGACATCGGCAACGGTGGGGAGCGCCGAGACCAGGCAGGCAAGGAAAGCGCGGAATGAGGGACGGCCCAGCGGGGCGCGGTGCGGCACCCAGGGCAAAGAAGGAGCAGGGCACCGCCAAGTGGGGGAGTGGCGGGCCCAGGGCAGGCAGGACGAGGGGGGGGAGGGGCGACGAACCCGAACGCCAGCCGGCGGCGGGCAGGAAGGCCACGCCTAGTGGAGGGCGGCAAGCCAAGTGGGAACGGGTGGGCCCAGAGGCAGAGAGCCAACTGAGCAGCAGCCAAGATGGGCGAGGTGGCGCTGGGGAGGTGGCCAGAAAACCCAGCAAAAGGGGGGGGGGGGGGGGGCACAGGCCCCGAAGCGAGCGTCGCCCGGCCGGCGAAGCACGGCAAGGGCTGGAGGGGTGCCGCAAGCAGGGCCTGGACAAAACTTGCAGAAGGCC